GCTATTTGCTTTAGTAAGCGATTACGACTGCGCCAATTATATTTCTATTTAAATATAAAAGTTGTTTCTATGTTCTTAAAGGTATTTTTTTAAATAAACTTCAGAAATAATCGAATATAAACTCTCTGATTTATTACACGATTCCGACTGCGCCACTTATTATCACGATGAACTGTTTTTTGTTGTACACGATTGCCAATCCAGATCTTGATCCGGATATCCGCCTGAGGCATTTAAGAGGCGGGGGTTGTCGGTAGCGCCAACTTACGACTATACCGATGAGAAGTGTAGTTCGGCCTCCGCCATCACCGCTCGCAAGCGTCGACTGCGGTTTCACGCAGGCAACTTCGTGCCTCGGCGTTTAGCTTCTGACAAAAAAAAAGCTGAGAATATGGCGTCACTGGTGACGTGCACATATGTAGATATGTAGTAGGGATAGCACCGCTACAATATACAGTGCGTACAACACTAGTCAACATGGCAACTGGACTTAGCAAAGTGTACTCTTATCCTATTATTTGTCCACTTATTTCGGGTTATTACAAGAATACGCGGATCTAAATTAAAATCTTTCAACTTACCCGTGTAGTTAAACGATCGAGCTTTAATTTAAAACACAGATTTGAAATTTCCGCGCACTAATTTATTAACAACTTTAATCGAAATACTCTTTTATGTGAAACACACTTTTATGTGTAAAACACGAAAATTAAATGGCGGGAGTTGAGCTGTCAAAATAACTGTCAAACAGCTCTTCGAAAGTTCGAATTTCCTGCTCCCAAATTTTCGGGGAAAATGCTGCTCCCTGGCAGTTTCGAATAGGAGGATTTTATTGTCGAGAAAAGTAAAATCCGCGAGAAATGAGATCCTCGGGAATATTCAGAATTGGGCTGAATTAGTGTTTTATTTGCTTTTTTTAGTACCAACATTTCAAAATTACGTTCAGTAAGATTTTGCTTTGTCGATCGATTGACAATCCCAGCAAGTTTTTTTTTTTACGATGCAAAGCTTCAATGCTCCTATACTCGTCATTCAGGTACCAATTTACTTCAGTTGCTTATAGTTCCGCCATGGGAACCTATATATCGATTCTGGATTAACTAACTTTTCTTCTAAGATACACGTAACTTCTTTTAAAGAACGACAAACCTTTTATATATTCCTGGCAAATCTTATTATACACTTGGTTTAATCTTTCCCATACTTCCTTATAATTTCTGTCCGTCAGTTGCCATTCGCCTAGCGCATGGGCTGATTTTCCTGTCAACGACTTCTTTAGATTAGAGCATTTGTATGCTGGCTGGGTATCTGGTCGTTATCATGTACCGCTGCAGCAAACCGATCACGAAACCCTTGCCACTTTGTTAGCGTGCGTCAAATTGACCATGAGGTCATGTTGCTGGAACGGCACCTGAACTTGCACCACCTTTGGCGTGATTGCTGCGTACTCCTCACGTACTACTTCTCCTGTCTTCCTTTTAGTTAAGTTAGTGCCTCATCAGCTCTTCAATAGATGCCACTTGTTGTTCAGCTTCCCTTGGTCGACCTCTGATTCACCATACAAGGCGTCACGCAGTTCCTTCACCGTAGCTGACTGTTCCTCCAAACGTAACTGCCGACGTCGCCCATTGCTGCAATCGCCGAATGTACCAGCCTTACCATCTGACAAAAAATTAAATATTCATATGAATACAGGGCGTTCTTCATAAGATAACAATTCAGCGTATGAATTCGCTGCCCTATATACGACTAGAAGCAAGTCTCAACAATGTTGGCGGACATAACGTATTTGATGTTAGTTATATTATATGAAATTCACATGTACGCCTGCTGGCACAAACACAGATTGAAATGTCAAAATTGATTACTTACCGCCCTATTCCCACACCACTGACAAAACTCAGCGGCTGACTATTGCCTTTACTACCGCGCCTAATACTATGCCGCAAATTTATTTTAAGCTGTCGTATGACAATTGTTAGTTTTATTGTTATGACCTACTGAGTAAGTGACAACGGCGAACCAATGTTTATATTGTGTTTTAGGCGCAGTAATTGTGACAATAGTCATATAATGAATTTTGTCAGTGTTGTGAGAATAGGGCGGTAAGACAGCGTTCAAAGCTATCAACTTTCTAACTGAGCTTACTGTTTAGGTATTGATGGGATGAATAAAAACACGTACGAGTTCTTCAGTGATCGTAAAGCAAGAGAACGAATATAAAGTTTATTCAAGGTCATAACTTGTTAGAGATGCGCAACATAGATATGTATAGAAGTCGTTTTCTATATCCAAAAACATGTACTCGATATATTTCATTGAACCTACGAAAACATTGCAAACCCAACAATAAAATTATTCATATCATTTCAAAACACACAGTATTTAAGTGCCGTTACTTCCTTAACTGTATTTAATATAATAAACATTACCAACAGGTATGTATATATGCCCTTGATCATCATGATCTTTCAAACGATGAAGGGTCCGAAGATATTTTGTTGTGTTTTAGCTAGACAAAAAAAAAAAAAACAAATTGCAATATTACAACTTGACACCAATACATATTTCGCTAAATAGCAAAAGGTTCAGTAGCTATTTGCTTTAGTAAGCGATTACGACTGGCCAGTTATGTTTCTATTTAAATGTTTTCTTTATTAAATTGTATAGTGGAATTGATTATAAAATTGCATACACTATATTTTTATATACAAATTATAAACAAGTTGTTTCTATGTTCTTAAAGGTATTTTTTTTTTATCAACTTTAGAAATAATCGAATATAAATTCTCTGATTTATTACACGATTCCGACTGCGCCAATTATGAAAACGATGAAGTGGTTTAGACTATGTAGTACACGATTGCAGATCCAGATCAGCTGATATCCGTCTGAGGGATTTAGGGGGCGGAAATTGTCGGTAGCGCAAACTTACGACTATGCCAATGATAAGCCTAATTTGGCCACCGCCATCACCGATCGCGGTTTCACGCAGGCAGCTTGATGCCTCGTAATAGGGTAGATATGTAGTAGGGATAGCACCGCTACAATAAACAGTGCGTACAACACTAGTCTAATAAGTAAGCTTGTAGAAATTCAGTCATAGCTGAAATGAGCAAATAGGGCAACCCCCTATCAGACGAGTGTAATAAATCTAGAGTACTCGAAGTTTCAGCCAAGTGTTTTAAATCAGACAAAATTTGATTAAAAACAAAAGTAGTCATCAAAATGTTAAACCACTAGTTCCTTTAGCGGTGACAATTTATTTTATGATTTCATGTTAATTGCCATATTGATTGGCTCAATTTTAGTCATTAAATATTTTTTGGCGATGTCTTTGATGCTGCCATCCTTTGAATAATTCAAGGTCGTGGTGTGTGGGTCATCTAAACATTAATCATTTGTTTTATGGATGTCCAATTATTTGATATATAATAAATTGTGTGATAAGAAGAAGAAAAGAAATACATGGTAATGTCAAGTAATAATAACATTCAAGTTATTTCAGTAATTTAATATAAAATCAAGTATTAAAAGTGGTAATAATTCAAGTAATATAAGATTATTTCAATCTTGTAATGATAACTGACTTATAATATAATGTTAGTAACTTAGATTAATATATATGTGAATGATAAACAAAAATACGTCAATTACAGTTATTAATAATAATATAAGTAGAAATTCTGATTTAAGTCCTTTCTACTGCAGGTTGATCTTGTGGAGCAACTGCACCTGCTTCTGGAACTAATGTTCCAGCGCTATCTCCGTCATTGCCCTCATCATTATCATGTTTGGGAGGATCTACATTTTCAAACTGCAATGTTGTAAATAAACGATATGGTATGTCTTGCTATTGCAACAAATTACTAGTCGATTTACAGTCTTCCGGTATAGTAATTCCAAGTTCGGTATATTCTGATTGCAGAATATTAGCAACATTTACTCCGTTGATTACAGGTATTTCTGTATCAATCACTGGCATTGTGGCTTGTAATGAAGCAGATCTTGCATATGTCATTATTTTCTTAAATGCGATATCCTTTTCATCACCAAGATCTTCAATGAAATCGACAAGATTATCACTAGTAATTTCCAATTCTGTAATGACTTCATCGTCGACAGTAACCTGTTTTGCGAATTTATTTAATTGACCAGGAATAGGATGGTATCCGTAAGCATTTATAATATTGGCTAGTGACATAGCCCTTTGTCCTGCTTCTGCTTCTAATTCACGGATCCTTACAACAAAGGCATCTAAAAACGTCTTTGATTTCACCGCATTGGCGTCTGGAGTTCCACGGTATCTTGCTGGTCCACGAGCTCTAGTATTTTCTTGAAAGGACAAGTTTATTCCGACATATGCAAGATCAGGATATGCTGCCATTGGAATTGGTGGTGTTACCAAAGAAACAAAAGGGTTATGAATTATATGTAATGTTAATGACAAAACAGATGTTAGTTGATCAGCTGGGAAAGTATTTACTAATACTGTGTAAGTCAGTAATGGATGCCGTAAGACTCCTTCAGCTAATCCTAACAATGAACTCACATTTGGTGCACGAGATTGTTCCAAAATCCATTTAATCGAATTTATTTGTGCATCTACAGCTAATGTGTAACAATAAGTCATGTTGCGTAATAAAGGCAAGTATGATCCCATAGGACGAGGAAAGTGTCTGTCATAATACCTCATTGTATCCTCATTGATATCTACGTTGAGATGATTTTTTCAAAGATTTATCAAACAAGCATCACCTAAAAAAAATGTTTAACAAATAAAAAATAAAAAAATAATTTTTTTTAGAGTGGTGCCACTTCTTATGGTATGTATACGTAATCTGTTCAAAGCGTTTTTCAGTTGTCGCAAAATAATGGTTTATAGAAATAAATCACAAATTCGGATTTATATAATGTTATATTGTATTCAATACTTTCGAAACATTTACACTCCTCGACTACTCCGACATCATTTTTTGTTTTAATTAAAAAATAATATAAAGAAGATGGAATTTTGTATTCATTTTTATTCAATTTGCATTGAAAATTATCGTTATTGATAATTGTTTCTGCTAAAGTCAGCGAAGATTCTATTGCTAGAGATAGAGGCAAGTTTTTTCACGAACTTATATTTTTACCGTACGACTTAAGTTCCCTGTGTTTCGACTCGAAAGGTAACATCCAAAGGTGTTTTAAGGGGCCTGAGTTCTCTACAACTCTACAATAGTGAGTTAGTAGATGGTGGTTTGGCTTCAAAGTGTCGCAAAAAGTTGTGGGATATTCTTCATTATGGTAATAAATATGATCTCTTAAATTAATAGTATCTACGACAGTATTTTCTGATAAGAGTAGTAGGTCTGTCTACTAGTTCGAGTAAATTTAACACAAATTTCCACAAATTGTAATTTTTGTCAATAACGACACCAATTAAGAGCGGAAAGAAATACATATTTCCAATTTGGCTGTCACCATAGTTGAAACTTTGTTTCCGAAAATTGAGAACATCTAAGTCAAAAACTTTATTAGAAATATTTTTATAAAAGTATAATATTGCAAAAATCGTACTTTAATACGCCTTCAAAAACATCATGAAGTAGATCAACAGCTAAGTTGTCTAGAATGTGAAAATTATTGATATTATAGAAAATTGAATACTCTCGTATCCCCGTAAGACTGACATCATTTAAAACTACATCTTGTAGGCAATTTTCTCTATTTCTGAGTGTTTACTAATTTCAGTGCCACCAAAACCAACCTTCAAAGAAGTGGTATTATTCGAGAGTAGGCGCGTCGCGATATTCTCCCTTATAGCCTCGCCATCAAGAGTAGCTTCGTTTATTATTCCTTCAAAAACAGGTTCATTATCCTCGTCCATAGGGCCAGCCTCAACTAACTCCTGCACTTTATAATGTTTACAGATATTATATAAGGCACAGCACAGTTATAAAATAGGCTGGAATCTTTATGCGGCTGGTTATTTTTATATGCGTCCCGTCTACGCAATCAATGACTCCGGGTATACCATAGTTTTGAAGAAAATGCTCTTTCGATTTCGTTTTCTCGTCATCGGTCAGGCATAAATTTATCCACCGGGAACATATATATTTTTCTAAAATCTTTAGCACGCGTGTAATTACTTTTGCAACCGTACTACGACCCATTGCAATATAACTATCTTTTCCCACAGCCGTTTGAATGCCACCTTACGCCAAAAACCTTACTGCCATACCTAAACAAAAGCTTTGGGCGGAGCGGTTTCTGACGCCTAGCGTTAGCGCCGAAGTGCCATGCCTAAACAAAAGCGTCAACGCTACGTCAAATGCAGAAATAACACCAACAATAAGCATAGGTTTGTTTGTGTGTAACACGAAAATGACAGTTTCGCCATTTTCTGCAGCCAACTTTAATACCTAACGCCCTGTCAAAATCGGATTTTCCAACCGCTCAGCGTTGACGCCGCGTTGTTTCGGTATGCTTCATACAAATTGTATGGGCATGAGAGTTTTTTGACAGCCAGACAACGCTGACGCTTTTGTTTAGGTATGGCAGTTAGTGTGGCCGCCAATTGCAGTTGTGCCGGAATGGATGTTTCTTTTAAATGCAGAACAACAACGTCCAATAACATGTTAAATGCCCTTTTGTTGACCCGGTAGCTGGGTACGAACCTATTTACCTTTTTTGTAAAGAATTGGCAGTAGAAGCGAACACCAAGTACTTACACTAATTCAGAAACATCTAAAAGATTGGAGTGATCACGCAGAATCCTTCTATTAAGGGATTCTTCTGCAAGTCTCACATTTTCTATTAAAATAGCCGCAAACGTAGTTAATGCTCTCATTTTTCCTTTTTGTATCCAAAAATTTATTATAATATATTCACGAAATTCACGATTTGCAGGAACAGCTGTTTTCTCCATTAATAAACCTTATGGGAGGTGGTCACCTGGAACGACTTCCTGTATAAACCTGCAAATCGTGAAGCATCTGGAACGCAACTTATTTGTTTTGGTTAAATTGACAGCTATCAGCTGTTAAGTTCATCTTTACCTATTCATCACCAACTTTAGTTCATTTTTAGGGTGACTCAAAAACCGAGTTCTAAAATGAACAAAAAATTTGGTTTTCAGAACACCAAAATCAAATTCACTCGGTTTTAGATCATTTTCATATTCACTTTCACTCGGATTCCAGAACCTGCCTGATTTGCAACATAGCAGAAAGGGTTAAACCAGTATTGTTCTTTTCCATTTTCATATTAGCACAGTTTGACGATCTGTCAATCGGCGACGCCATTTTCAACGCTGTCTTTCTACGTGCCAACAAGGGCACTCTAGCTCTTTTTTTTCAGTATAAATGTATTACCTCAAAAGACCACAAGGCACCACTCCACAAAACAAATGAATTATATTATTCCGCAAAAAAATAGCCACAAAAAGCTGAACAAATTGACTAAACAACTCAACACTCTTTGGGAGTTAAAGACCGAACGTTATTTAAACAATAAATCGGAAACTTTGAATTGTAACGAAATTTCGGCTTTTATTACTTTTACCATTAGTAGGATAGTGCACTTCGTTAATAAAGATTTTGTACAAAAATCTTATAAAAATCAATGCATTTCCAAGCGTATATTTTACTTCATTTTGTACCAACTTCAGTTCAATATGGTCATTTAATAAAATTATGTTTAATTAATACTCTTCAGTAAAGCTTTCATAAAAGCATTGCAGTTCACTGGTAGGGTGGCCGGCGCACGTCACAGAAGGACTGGTCATTGGACTTGAAACTATTACTGTTGGAAAGTCCTGTTGCGAAAAGTTGAACATGCTGTTTGTCTCTGTAAAAGGTAAATCTGATTGATAAGTAGGTGGTTTACGAAGTGGTGCAAGTAAAAAATCCTGTATTCCTAAAGCATGAAATTTTTTTTAATTTCCCGTGCATTCGTAGAACAATATGTCGGAAATTAGTTTGCGTGCAATTACTTTCTGCTATTCATCCATTTCTTTGTACTGCGAAGCTCAAGAATTCCTGAACATATCAATGCCAAAGTTGGTGTTCCCATTGGATTGAAGTTGGTTACACGCTAATTTTATTAGCTGATCTTCATCCGGCAACTTTCTCTTTTTTGTACGTGACGGCAATTTCTTAAATTAAAGGAAAAATATATGTTTTGTAGGTAGATTTTAAGATTAAATATAATTTTTCTTACTTGCTCTTCGTTCTTGTTTGCCATAGTAGATGTTCCTTCGATGCACTCCTCTTGATCTTCCAAAAACGATAGCCTATCGAGTGGACTCATATATATTCTCAGCTCCGGCACCAGATTTTTGACTTTCTTTTATTTTCCTTATCTCTATTCGGTACGCGGTACGCGGTACGCAGAGCTGGGTCGTAATGATTCCTTTAGGAATTGAATTACTCCCAATTACAAATTACAAGGAAACGTTTGCCAGCAAACCAACACCACTTTTAAATAAATATTTATGACATATACCTAATATTTAGGTATTTTACCTATATACATATGTATGTATTACATGAATAATATATTTATAAAACCAAAAAAAGTGTGTTAATAAATAACTTCTCATCTAATCATGACTAGTTTATATTTATAAACATTAATAAAAACCCCAGTAAATGTATTATTAAAAAAAAAAAAATTATCGCTACTTAGGCAACTAAGTTTGCTTGTCGAATGGTGGCGCCTCATCGCTTGCTTTGTCTTAACAGCACTGACAAAATTCAAAATTATTTTTAAGGAAATTATTACTTATATTGGAGAAATTATTACTTCCCCAAACTAATGACTATTTTTAGCATGAACCTGAATTAAGGAAACACTTGTAGATTTGTCGCATAAATGCCGCAAATTCCTCCTTAAAAAATACTTTTACTGAACTTAGAATTATTGTAGATATAGAAAAAAGGAAACAACCTGTCTTGTCTTGTCGACTAATAGACGATTTCTGAGTACGCCAGTTACATAACGATTACCGGTAAATTTTATTTTAATAAAAAAAATGACATCAGTATATCCGAAAAAAATTAGATTTTTTTAGGATGATGTAACCCTTTAAGATACTGCCGTTACACGGTTGCCAGACGTACAGATTTTTCAACTCTCTGAATTTTTCAATTCTGAGCATATAAATTTAAATAGGGTTCTTCCCACCGAGCTTGGTACTCGGTAGCTCGGTGTTCGGTATTTTTTCCCATGTATTTTGTTTGTGCAATATTATTTTATAAAAAGACAATACCTAAGGTTTTTCTTAAAGGTTTTACATAACGTTGGAACTTTTTTAAACTGTACTTTAAAAAGTAATAAGAAAATAATTTTATTATAGTTGACATGTTCCAGATAATGCTTTATATGTGCAAGAAATTAATACAACAAAAGGAGCAATCTTTTTATGGGCATATCGCCGGGTCGTTACGTACCAGTTGCGATAATATGATGGAGTATAAGTTGTTTAAAAAGAGGGCTGACGTTTTTTGACGAGTGTTGTTAATTATCTCGAAAATAACTTTCAGTTTAATAACAACAAATTTGGGTAATTGAATGGCTTTTGTCTACAACTATCAATTCGTTTTTTCTCAATTTACTGACATTGTAGAAGAATTTTGCTTACAAGACATGGAGTTCGATACTCTTTTTAGCATATTCTTAGTCCTTTAAAGTTTTTGCGCAGGAAATATATATATGTAATTTTATTTATTTATTTTTTTCAATACCACTCTCAAACGAAGCAACGCAGAGGAGCTTAAGTATAAAGTTTGCTTCCGGGCGCAAAGAGAGAAACCGACTTAATTTGCAGTATAGCAGTCTTTCAAACGTTAGTAAACACTCACAGTCCAACTAGTAGCTCTAGACGGCTATATTTGTCGCTTAAATGACGCCTAATAGTAGCCGTGTTCATACATACCAATTCTTCCTTTAAAAATTGGCTTTACTGAAATTAGCATTATTGTAGATATAGAAAAAAGGAAACAACCTGTCTTGGCGTTGGAAATGTTTGTCGACTAATGGACGATTTCTGAGTACGCCGGTTACTTAACGATTACCGGTAAATTTAATTTTAATTATATAGAAAATGATATCTTTATCGGGTAGTAACATCATGTTCAGACCTCAAATTAAATTTAATCTCTTCACTGATCTTGACAGTTTACACTGCTGTTGGTGTATAATAAAACAGCTGCGACTCCTGCTGTTTTGTTTTGTTTACATTCCGCCGAGCTCGAAAACGGGTTGACGTAGTGCAACTGCGCAGGGATGCATTTTAAGGGCGCAAATCCTTTAAACAAAATACAAAAAAAATTATGAAAATTGATGTTATTTTAATAGCTACCTGTATCTGTTTGGAAAGTTGTATATATAACCAATGTTTCCCAGTTCGCTGGCCGTCGCCTTGTAGATGTACCCATTCTTCCGGGCCGGCCGCAGCTTTGACATTCTCTGCTGCCACAGTTCAATTAAAACGGTCTCTGCAACCTCGTTGCACTGTAATTCAACGTTCGCGTTCAAGAGTGTTTAAAAAATATCTTGCTTTATTATCAGAAAGAGAAGGAAGATAAGTTTAAGTTGTGTGGAATTTTATTGTTTTTTTTTTATACAAAATTTATACTTTTTGTGTCATTCTCACTGCAGTCTGACAATTTATTATTGTTAGAAGCAGATGTGACGAATTGTTTTTCCCAAAAATAGAGCGCTAAATCAGCGTTGCACCGAGAAATTTCATGTGAGTGCAATAGTGGTGACAAACTATCGATAGTGGAGACCATCAATAGTTGATGAAAGTTTTTCTGATAGTGCGCTGCCATCGATAGTTTCGATAGTGTGCTGCCCTCGATAGTGTCGACAGTGTTGATGCGTTTTTTAATTTTAATGCAACGAAAAGACATGTAAAAATTAGCTTAGAAGGCTATATGAATTAATTTATTTAAATATGGTTTCAAGTTGCTAAAGAATCTCGTTGATTTTTGAAATATTTTTTTGCTAACAGTGTCACGCATTTTCTTCCATATAAAAACGAACTTCTTTGTATAGAAGAAAATGCGTGACACTGTTTATTATACTAAAATTTAATGGACTATAAAATTGCATACCGAATATTTTTCTCAAAAATTCTGATCCCAAAATTTGAAATTTTGGTGAAACTGTGAGGAATTTTATTAATTGTTGCACAAAGTTTGAAATTGGGATTTATGTGGTTTTCGTTAGTCGATAAGCTGGGCTTTTATAAAAAAAAAGCTTTAATGAAAAAAATATATATGTATGTCGCGACACTATAATATGTTCAGTAATTTACTTAAATTCTTGTTTATTTACTTATAAAACTTTAACATTTTTTCTTTTATAATTTTATGTGAAGATTTTTTTGTACAAAAAGTCTCATGACTTAAGCTCTAGTTTTCTGTAAAATTTATTACATATAATGAAAAACATGCAATATAAACATATCTATAACAAACACGTTACCTTGTTTTTTATATTTGTCCATATTTTGTTACAAAATCCGCACGATTATCATAAAAAATTTCACACAAACGCGTTTCATCATAGTTATGGTACATAAACATCATACATAGATATAGCAATTCTTCGATAGTATCGATAATATCGAACTTCAAATATGGCCGATAGTGGTCGCCATCAATAGTTGCGATAGTGATGTCCTATCGATAGTTAAAATGCAGAATTCACTATCTCTGAAAATTTATGTCACTTCAAAGATATAAAAAAAAAAAAAATTCAAAATTACGGTCCGTAATATTTTGCCTTGTTATTTACAAAACTTTCGCAGGTTGGTTTCTTTTGATGAAATACCTGTAGACTCCTCACCGAATTCGAGAAATAATGTATTAGCACTTATGTAATGCTGTAAATTATTTTCTTCCCCTACCGCAAGTCTTTTAAACTCCAGTGCATATTCTTTAACTTTATCTCGAACATCTTCTAGAGTGTAGGAATCAGTACTTTCCAGTAAGGTTTTGCAAAATTTTAATTTGATTTAGGGAATGAGAATTCCTGCAACAACTGCATCCTCAGAGCCAGACTACAAACTAAAATATTTTTCAATTTGTATCATAACTTCAAAGTTTTTAATAAGGATTTTAAGAAAAGTTTCCAGTGTACAGTGCTTTTTCGCCCATTCAATTTTAGTAAAATTCAGTGTAAGTTTAAACTTCGACTTAAAAAAAAAAATGTGCCATTTATTTATGCCAATATTTTTGTATATTTCCGTTTGCATTATCGAGCATTTTCAATAATTTCATTATTTAATTTTCTTATTTTAGTATACATACGAGCTCTGAAAAACATTTTTTTTTTTTATTTTCATGTCACATGGAACTTCTGAAGCGAGTTCAATATGCTTTTTAATAAAATCTGAAGTTATCAAAAGACTATCTCCATTTAGTTTAACGAATATGGATTCCAGCTGAGTCATATTTTCCATCATACTATCACTAGGTATCGCTAAGCCCCCCTCGCTCAAGTGGTTTGCCCACGAGAGGGATAGATTGTCGCGACTTTCACGCGAGGTACTGGGGATGTCATCGCGAAACCTGTGGCAAATATACCCCGCTAAATTTTCCAGCCCGTCATACTCCAAATCATCAAATTCCTTTTGCTCTATATCTGCTAACGTAACTCACATGGGTCTGAATATCGCACCTGTATAAATCGAGACACGATTGTATACATACATATGTATGTAAGTATGTTGAAAGAGTAATATTTTTAAATACCTGTTAGGGTGGGCCTGGGATACTTCTAGGTCAGGTGTATCATCAATCTCAACATTACCTCCAGTGGATATGGCGCCCTCATTGCGACCAAGTTTATAGCTTCTGAGTCTATATTTAAACTCTTGTTGACCTGGGTGATCGTGTAAACCACCTTTAGCACGAATCACTCCAAAAAAGTTTTCGATAATATCTTGGTTAAGGTGATATGTGATATGTGTGATAGAATATATTTGACATTGAAAAATTTTTCAGGGTTTCAAGGAGCATTTTTACTGCCTTGTTTGATTGTATTATTCCTAAAATCAGAACACAAATTTTATATTATACGACTATATATATTAATTGAAAATTTAAAACATCAATTTTATGAATTTTTTAATCAGTTTTAGTTTTTGCCTTTGAGGAACAGTCACTTGCAGATGGCTAGCGGAAATCTTATGCGTTATGGTGAGGTCCTTAGACGTACATGTCAACAGTTCTAAAATTATGCTCTTGTCAACACTTTTACCGTCTATGTAAAAGCCTTGGTCAATAAAATGTTTTCTTAGCAATTTTATCATGTGAGGGACGTCAGCTAAAACAAAAATGTGTCCCCCCCTCAAACATAAACCTGCAAAAATAACATATGTTAATATTTATAAGTAAAACAAGGTATGAGTGTGCCTAGCATGGCTAATTTTCATTGACACCTAGGTCACTTAAAAGGGATCTATTAGTGCCTCCGAAGTCACAGACAGTGGCGACAACATTGTAACCGCATTTTTTTGTAGATTGCAGCATAGTGTTTAATATATCAGGTGCCATTCTGCAGTCATAGTTATAAAATACTGGCTGTTTCCAGTCCTTCTCGCTCCAATTTGCAACTTTCTTATGACTACCATTTTTTAACTTCTCAATTTGACCCCTTGTAAATATTTCAGCTAACTTGTCCTCCATGTTTTTGCAAGCAAATGCGGCTTTTAGCGCACGATTTTGCTGCAAATCGACATTGTAGGCATGCTTCTTTTCCTTCCAGAAGTATTCGCGTTTAAGGGCAGTGATTTCACTTTTCAGCTTGCGGTTTTCTTTTTGTAGAGCCAAGTTTTCTGCTTGTAACATTTCTCTAAATACATACATATAAAATGTTTAACAGCAAGTCAAATTTAAAAAGTGAAGTAAATGATAACATACATAAGTGTACTAAACTTACATTTGCGTCTGCAACCCGGAATCAGTTGCAGGCGTGCAGTTCTTTAATGACACATCGGAAAATCTGTTGGCTTCAAAACCACAATTTTCCTTGTCTCTGGTTGTTTCTTGGTCATCGTCACCATGTTGTTCTAACTCTTCATTAGGTATAAGCTCAGCTGAAATTTAAATTTATGTTAATATGTTGTAGAAAGTATGTCAGTTTCAACTTGCAGCAAATTTCACCTCACTCACACTTTCACTCTTCACTCTGTCGCAGGAGCTCATCGACAATGTCTTTGTTTCGGCGGCGCTGAACTCGCTGCGAACGCTCTGGATTAGCATCGGATGGCTTATAAATTGATGGTACGGTGTCACGTTTAAGAATCCGTTTCTTTGCGAAACCTAAATATTGATGAAATAGGACTTTCATAATTACAGACACAATTTCCACTTAAATTCAAAATACTCACCCATTTCAAACTGGACGATATTTTCGAAGTCCTCTCTAACAAAATGCTCCATACATATGTAGGATGTGCTAAAATTTTAGTCCTTGTTTTGCCGGCAAAATTGCATCCACATTTTCCTCAGTATGGGGTCGACTGGGAAAGAAAATAGGCTGCACTCTGATGCCTTAACTTTGTAGTCAGTGTGGCAATTTAGTACCGCGCACTTCATTTTTATTGTCCATACACAAGAAATAATAAACACACTATTAAATATTCGCAATAAATCCATAAAACACGAAACAATCAAAACACTCGCGTTGTAATTTTCAAGAAACTTTGATAAAGTGACGTCATCACTCGAACAGCTGATCGCAATATTGTAAAGCAAAAAGTAACGGACCTGCGCAAAGCGAAATCTCTTTTTTATGAATCTTGATTGCTTCTATCCTTTCTAATTATGTAGAAACAACGACATGTAGTGATACTAAGTGTAACAGCGTTACACTTGTTTGCCTTTTTGGAGTTTTTATTATTTTAAAGGTAGGTACAAATAACGTAGCTTTGAATTATCTTTTCCACTTGCACATATAAATTGGTTGAGTTTTTCCTCACTATCACTAAAGTCTTATTGATTATCTCTTAAGTTTTTGTGATAATGCAATTTGTTTATCACTATCACTAAACCTTCAGTGATGTGAAAGTTTTTTTTCACTATTAATAAATTTTCAATGATAATGAATTCCGTATTTGAACTATCACTGAACAGACAGTGGTAATGCAATTCAGTGGTAGTGCAAAAATGCCCAACCCTGTTTTTTCTATTATTATTAACTTTGGATTCTTTAAATTTTACTGCACTCGCTGTACTGCCCTGTTACTTTTCCCTTTTTAGTGTCATTGCAGTAACGATAGCCAGCAGCGACACTACAGTATTTGTTTTAATTGCGAGCAAGCATTGAGTTTCACTGCACAAAATCTAAAGTGCGCAGTTTCGCCAACGCATCATTGCGAAGTTGCATGGGTCTATTATACCTAAGCAGGTTACGTTTTACTAACACTGGTTCAAGTAGCCAACCTGGTGGGAACGGGTTCCAATCTCCGAACTCACGCCTTGTATTGGTTCAGTTGTTTTTTCAATTAATCGTCTTGAGATGTACGGTGAGGGGCGGCATTCGTATAGGTTGTGGTTTTCATTATTTATGTATCCGAACGTACCCGATGTGGCAGAGCCTAGGTCTCCATTTTCTGCCATCGGTCCACGTGATATTGCGTCTCGCGGTTGATTAATGCACACCCTATCACTGGTAGGGGTAGTATTCGTCGCAATCGAGTCAAGGTAGTCTAATATCACTTTAGGTATTTTAAAATCCTCTCCAAAGGCAATTTTGGTATCGACGAAGCCCGCATAATGGCTATCGCCATTTTCAAATCTTTGGTGTTGCGCAATTCGAATATGTAACGCACCAAACATTACGTGTTGAAACACTGTCTCTCAAAGATGCTGCTCTCTTTTACGGCCATTTTTCAGAACTCTTCCAAAATTGTGATGTAACTGGAATATTCCAAGTTATGACTCGCTGTTGATCTTATTGGAACAGACGCATTTATAGTACCAGAATATATTTGTTCGTGCTTAGGAAGTGAGTCCACAGTTGATTTTGGTGGCTGTGGACCTCTTATCTGTTTATTTCCTCGCGGTTGCTGTTGAGACTGGGGGTTTTTTTTGTTGTACAGGGAGTTGACGCTGTGGTCGGTATTGTGTGGCTGCTTGATCATATCTTTCAGCTATTTCTACCTGGCCTGACCATCTGCGCCATTTCGAGCATTGTTGTAATTGTTCATTCGCTCATAATTCTCCACCTGCAATTATTTCCAGATTGTTGTGTTTGTTGTTGTTGTGGCTGATTGTTATTTGCGGGTATCCACGCTGATAAGTATTTTGATTGAACGCCGTTACGGTTTTTTATTTAAAAGTTTAGACAACTTCGAAGGACCATGAATAGTTTTCGATCTCTCGTTCGCACTCACCATATTTAATATTCGAACACACTGGTTTCCTTTTAAAGGAAAACGCTTTTGTTTTGAATTTATACATACATACATATTTTGCATACAATTTTTGATGAGAGAACTTTATGACAACGAATTCTATCTTAAATTGTCAAAGGTATTCGATTTCAGTCTCTATTCGATCGCCCCACTCCTTCAAGCTTTCCTCTAAATTCAATTTCTGACTTTTATTTTTGACCGAAAAAATATCGGTGAAAAAAATTACGATTATTTTTTTACTTTTTAGAAAAAAAAAGCATAATTGTTGCGGTCCCTGCTTAATATACATAATCATATGAATAAAAATTATAATTAATATATGTTTTTACATACGTACATACATACATATGTGGTTGCTTAATTTCTTATTATTAGTATTAGGGCTGTGCGATTATTCGATTACTCGAGCAAGTTGGTTAATCAATTATTCGGTTAATCAATTACTCGAGTAATCAAGATTTCGATTACTCAAAACGATGATTAATCAAGTTACTTGAAATATGATTACTCAAAAAAAATATTTTTGCTCGTTAATAGAGTTTGCTTTGGAAAATGCTTATTTTCTTTTTTACATTCTGTACATGAAAAAAATTTTTTGTTTTAATTTTTGAAAACAGAAACGTTGTTTTCAAAGTATCAAGGAACTTTAACTACTTTATACATATGTAAAGAGTTGAAATGTTGATTACTCATTTTACTCGAAATGTTGATTAATCATAAAGCATTTTACTCAAATATTTTGGTTTTTGGTTAATCAGAAATCTTGATTACTCGAGTAACTGAACTTTCGAGTAATCATAATTTCCAATTAATCGAATAATTGAGTTATTTACTTTATGATTAATTAAAATTTTGAGTAATCAATTAATCGCACAGCCCTAATTAGTATTATTCCTTTGCATATAGATGTTTTCAAAAGTTGCAGAATTTTAATAAAAAGGTAAAGCGATTTTAACGGTATTACAATCTTTTGATATAAATTAATAGTTAAAAAATATGTATAGTGGTTTACAAAAATTCACTGTGCAAAATTCTTATAAAAAAGTAAAGCGATTTAACGGTATTGAACATTTAAGGACAATGGTCTTTTGAATGTTTCCTGTAGCTTACCACTTCGTATCACTATTTCCACTTTATACAGAAAAGAACACACAGAATTTTAATTTTTAATTTATAAATTGTGTATGGAGTTTTATTGATCAAATCGGGGGCTGCCCGGACACGTCCGCACGGAAGTAAAATCTTGACGATTGTTTATCTGTATACATGTGTGTGTGTGTATGTGTGTGGGTGTGTGTATTACATGTGGAGTGTGTGTGCTGATGGTGACATTTGTGGGCGGTAGCTTCGCGAGCGGAAGTGGCAGCCTTGCCATCGCGAAAGGACCCATTTAGCCATCCCAGCCCCCCTAGGCGTATACTTAGCCTAGTAGGCGCTGTAGCTGCTGCAACCTCTCAACAACGTTGCCAAGCCCGGTTGGGCGGCGGTGGTGCGCGACCTGGACTGCTGTCGGCCGCGGTGGGATGAGGGGGGGCCCGGGCGGTAGTGTGCCGACGGTGGTCTCCGAACGTGGACAGGTATTATAATCAAAAGAAAGGTAATCGATTCACCTTTCTTTTGATATACATATGTATATTAAAGCACAACATTTTATTTTAAAAAAAAAAATTCTGAAAATAATGTTTTTTTATTTAAATGACATTGCTCTAATTACCAATGAATTTATTTACACATGCCATTTATAGTACTTAAAGCACAACATTTGATAATTTTTTTAATATCTGAAGATAATGTTATCTTAAATAGAATTGCTTAAATTGCTAATGAAATTAGGTACACATGGCTTCTTTACGTCATAAGGACTAGAAATATCGTAAAAGTAATGTTGGAGAAAACTCTACACGTGATAAGACTCATGCGGGTATTTTAAAGAAAATATTTGATAAATTTTAACGCAAATATCCAAAGATATTATAAACGAGATAAATTTAAATTTTTGATAACCAAAGCCCACATAAAAATCAGTTAAACTCATGAGATCAGAGCCCACTGCAATTAAAAAGGGATGTGTTGGCGTTTTTGACTCTATAGATTTATTTTTACGCAGTTCCATTTGATGTTGCAAATCATTTACGATGTACTTTTGATTCGCCTTCTTTATTTACATACTGTTTAGGCGCGTCTGCTAACACCAGGCGCCTAAATACATGCTATGTACTGCTGCATGTGCAAAAATTTCCATTATGCAACTTAGGAAATTTTTGCACAATGCACTTCTCAACTGCCAAGTAATTGAACTTTCTTAAGTTTCAATAAGATGGCACTTCAAAGTATGCTCGGCCTAGTCTGATGCATCCTCCGGACACTGCTTCCGGAGTCTTCTGCGGACTCTGCATGGCTTACAACCATGCGGAGGTGGTAATAGTTGATTACCATTGGCCACAGTGCCTACCCACTACTTTTTGGTCCAATAAATATTTTTTTATATACATACATACATGCAAACATACTGGTCTCCCCTCTCACTGAGTTATTCATGGTCCTTCGAGCCGGATATTTGCGGCTTTTGTTATATCCACTAGACGACCAAGTCGTCTAGGGGGGCCGGTATGTTTAGGCGCGTCTGCTAACACCAGGCGCCTAAATACATGCTATGTACTGCTGCATGTGCAAAAATTTCCTTTATGCAACTTAGGAAATTTTTGCACATGCACTTCTCAACTGCCAAGTAATTGAACTTTCTTAAGTTTCAATAAGATGGCACTTCAAAGT